AAAAACCTGCCCTGGTACATAAACTATTATGTACGCCATCAAATGAATAGGAATGAGTTCGAGAAATGGAGTTCTGTGTTCCATTATCCCCCTACGCTTGCAATCATTTTAATCGTTACATTTGCAAAGTACAAACAACAAACAAGTTGTTGCGGTTTACAGCGCTCAGATATTTCGAACTCTGACCGACACTGAATCTACAAAACTACTCCAGGCAACTGATCGTAAATAGAATATTTGATACTAACTGGTAAAAAAATATCACAGAAATTTTCCATCACAAAACTGCTGCTCAGAGCAGCAGATATGCTAGAACAAGCATTAGTTTGACTTCTTCCGCGAATGCTGGTCCGCTTCAGGCAAATCGCGCAACTGCAACATTAACACCATTTGTGAAATGTTGCTATTTGCTTTACCCATAGTTCCTCACGCCCCACGAACTACCTAAGCGACGCAGCTAACATTTCTCCGTTCTAATACGGGGATCAAAACAAAATACAGTACATGGGCGAAAAAGAAATGAAAAAAAAAAAAAACGAAAATTAAAGTGAGCAAGCAAAAAATTTAACTGGGAGAACGCAATCAAACGAGCATGAGATGTGGCCAGAAAAGCAGTAAAATCAGGTGGAAATTTCAAACTGAGTTTAACCCAGGCTGGAACGCATCGTGCTTGCCGCTGCGAACATGCGTTTTTGCGCTTGACTTGCAGCGGGTAGATTATTAAAAGCATGACTCGTCCTTGCGCTACAGTTTAGCACGTAGACATGTTGGCCATGTTTAAGGGTTTCTTGCATACAGACCAGGGTGGCAGTGTTGCATCATGGGATCGCATGAACCTACAGTGTGCTTGATTAGCAATTTTTGCATGAAGCCTGATCGTTTTTCTGGTAAACGGTCGTTCATCGAAAAAATGCAGGTTTTAAGAAAGTCGAAACAGGACTGCGAAATCCGTAAAATGCACTCGCTTTTGACTATACGATAAAACTGAGTAACTGTTACGTCTGCGTGTACGGAAATTCACCTCCAATTAGAGTTAAGTCCATCGCTGGAAAGCTCTAGCTTGTCCAATAAACGAAATAGCCACTTGGCTACAATTATCTTTGAAGTGCCCTAAGTTCTAGCGCATGTGCAAATCGAAACTCAATTTAGATAAACGATTTTCAATATGGACGATATTCTGACAAAATTTCAGCAACTATTTTTGGACTAGCTTTTTTGTTGGCAAAATGTCAACTGCGAAATTTGAATTGATCATATGAGCGGTACAAACTTGCGCGACAGCTAAATTTGAAATCGTTAACTCACACAAGCACACAGAATATCCCTGCAAAATTTCATTTTTTTGTCTTGCCTGGCTCACGAAATCGTTCCCCGCTAAAGAAATTCGCATATTTTTTCTGGGAAAAGTCTGCGCGCGAGATCGAAGCGCGTATGAGCGATGATTTTTACTCCCAGCATACCTGGCTGCTGAGTTGAAAGTGTGTGACAAAGTTCACTCGCTTCCGAGCACACACACATGGATGACCTCTCGGCAATATGCGTTTTTGTTCACTGTGGCAGCGCCATAGCGCTACACAGCAAAAACGCATAATAACGAGTTACTGGTCTTAAAAGCACTGAACACTGAAATAGGCCAAAGGAGAAAACATGCAAAAAAGGGCGCCATTTGGAGTGATGGGATGACGTCCTAAAGAATGAGCTGGATTTCGCATCCTCCTTTCGAAGCCACTGCACAAAAATCCTGTCTTTTATTTGTTTAATTTAAAATTTGGGCCAAAACGAAAATAGGGTGCATCGCTACTCTCTTCAAGCCTGAACCGTAAAGAACAACTCACGTCGTCGCTCGCATGTTTCCTTCTCTTTTGCTGAATTTTGAACTGTTTATCCACCTTAACTTTGCTATGTTTCTCCCTGTAGCGACGCACGTGAAACAGTACGAAATTCCATAACATATACAGCTGCAGTGCCAAAACGCACAACAGGCTGTTCAACCTGTAACATTTGTTTCGATGGTAAGTCGGCGATGAGATGCCAAGCGAGCCAGACAGTCAAACCACTTCCAGCCTTGCTTTTTCAGCGTAGAAGCAGCAGCAACAGCTGTGCCACTACCGAGTAAGTAATGCTGGCAAAATGCGTCCAGGAGAATCAATTCAATGCGCCACCAACTTCATGAAAAGCTAAACACGAGGCGAATTGGGCCGGAAAAAAAAACTCTGTAGATGAGCTACACAATAAAATCTTTAACCGGATGAAAGCGGTATTGAAATTTCCATTGACTGGATCCATGTAAGGTGTTTCGTTAGATCGAAGACCGTACCACAAAGTGAGCACAGCCAACACCGCGCTTGCTAAACGCACCAGTACAAAAACAACGTTCCATGCTTTAAATCTAAATTTGCACAAATCACCACAAAAAAATGCGGGAATTCTGGTGCACAAAAGCTGAATTTTCCGCTCTACTTCTGGATGATAGACGGAAGGCTTAATACATTCGCTATGCTCAGCTCGAATTCTTCAGATCAAAGTTGCCAGTGCGAGTCTTTCCATGATTCGTCGATCTGTTTCGACAACATACAGATATCCGCGTTCCCAACATGCCGGGAAGTTAAGCAGCCCTCAGTTAGTTAGTTTCCCAGGCAGCCTTGGGTGGCCCTGCCGCTGACTGGTTACACCATCCCAACCGGTACCTATCTTTCTTCCGAGAGTTCTGTCCTCCCACAGGGGTATGGGAGCGAAGTAATAGAACGAAGAAGCAAGGAAGGGAAAAGAGCACGAAGGAATACGGGAAGAATCTCATATTCACGCGGAGCAACTATTCATGAAATTTTTTGCATGATGAAAGCATTTGCTGAAACGAACCCTGTTTTTGCGATGCTCCATTTCTCAGCGAAATGAAAAAGGCGTATGAGATGAAAAACACTCTGCGACACATATTCCAGGAACAGAAGGGCCAAAGCCAGTCTGTTGAAGCTGCAACACGAAAGATTACGTCTGCCTGTGAGTCTTCTTTCACTAATTTCCAAGGTACAGCTAAGAAATCAAGGACCACAAAAACGATGGATGAAATGTGTGATATGCGGCATTCTTTCCCGAAAGTATGAAAGGGACATTGGACTACGAACGGCACAGCAGCCAAAGAAAAGTTGTCAAAAATAATGACGGAGTGAAACAGCGTCGATGACGGTGGCAGTTCAACGAAGAAACAAATTATATGCGCCTGAATTCGTTCAATTTATCACCATCCTAATCTCGGGAAACTGAAAAAAGCTAGCATCCCACAATCACAAGCTTTACCCTTTGTCCAGTATTTTGTGAATGAAGCACTTCGACAGAAATGCACCCAATTTAAGGAAGCGAACTAACACTGAATATCATAGAGTACAAAAAATGAATAAACAGCGGCGTACACCAGAGCAGCTGGTACGATTAAACGTTTTGTTCAATTCTGCCCAGCGAACATCTACTGTTAAAAGCCTAGGCTGGAAAGCACCAGGTTTGCCGGTGCGATTATGCGTTTTCGAAGTAAACCTGAATCAAACAAGTCGTTACCTATATGAATGGTTGTTGCTTTACACTTACCCTATGCAATTTCTAGCGCAAACTTAACTCTTTCACTTTTTTTGCGTAAAAAAAACAATTCCCGCCGAAGGGTCATTCTATGAAAAAGTTCACAAAGCAGTTTTCCTGTCAAAACTTTTGACTGCCCATAAGTAAGAACCACGTACATCTGGCGGCTGAATTTGAAATCGTTAAGAAGAACCTGGACAGGGAATATTCTCTCAAAGTTCAGCTGTTCTGGTTCCCGAGTTAGCACTTTTCCCGCCAAAACTTTCACGCGCTCATACGCGAAGTTTGGATGTGCGTGAAGATTGGCACCGCGGTCCTGGGGTGGCATTTGGCGGGGGAAAACACTGGCAAAGTCCCAGCACAGAAGCTCGCTTGGTTGTCAAACTGAAACACCCAGACAGACACAGACACACACACGCGCACACACGCATGGCACACACGCACGGGTGTGTTGATTTCAATGTAAGTAGATCGTGTTTCATCAGGAGGCTACATACATAAGTTTTGTTCGAAGCGAGGTGAACAGTATTCCCGCTCGCCCACTCAGAAAACCAGATGTTGCCAGGCTGTAAAGAAAATTGGAAAAATGAATCAAATACAAATAAAGAATAATCCATTACTTACTTTAAAGCATATGCAACAACAGTAAAGAAAAGAAAGATAAGCGAATACAGTGTTCGCGGCTGCATTTCATCTTTGCGTGTCTTTTGAAAATAGAATTCTGGGAACTGATGCAACCAGTATGCAATCTGGAAGAGATTTTTAAACTGCTTTTGATGAGCATGCAAAATGAAGAACAAATTTGACTGCACGTAAGTGCTGGGATACCTGAAATATGAAAAAGAGCTTTAGATGAAGAGTCATGTGACGATGGATTTCCGGGTATCCAATCCACAGTTTGGTGAGGTCGATGTGCATCCGAAGA